TTATTTTTCATCTCTTCATTTGCAAACCTTTTTTTCAATTAAATTCTTAATGTACTGCAATGTTTAGAGCAAAACTTAGAAATTATTGGTTAAGTAGCTACTATTTAAACTCGCTCCACTGGCTCCTTATGCGATAAGAAATATTTGTCACATCACCTAGCGCTATAAATACAAGTAGATAGCAGGCATTACGATTCTTTGTGAATTCAAAATTAATGTTGGGCTCGAGGCGATAATCTTAACGATAATCTACCTACTCAGCTATCCTCCTTCCAAAAGAAATGCAAATTTTATTGCATAATTATATTAAATTTTCAGGAAATCTGTCATGGAAACGAATTAATTATATAAAATTAAAGAAAGAAAAATGTTATTTTTTAAGGCTATTCTAAAGCAAAAATTCTAATATTCTACTTCAGAAAGCAAATAGATTAAAAGATTTTAATAGAACAAAAATATATATATAAATATATATTAGAAAATATATTAAGAATTAAGTGATGTATATTGCTTAGCCTACATGCATGCTTTGTAATAAAACGGAATTTAGTAAAGGAATATAGTAAAGAAGGAAGTAGGCTCGTGAGCAATTGGAAAGCGTAGAAAACGAATGGTATGCATATAACTGATGTTGTTGACCATTTGTTTACATGTTCATTATCCCCCTTCAGTGATCGCGATTTGACATCAGATTAACGGCAATCAACACATTTTTTCAAGAGATTCAGATAAGTTTAGCAGGACCATAGGACAAGGAATAAAGAAAAAAGCGAGACTACTCCTATTCGAAAGATGATTTATCATCTTCCTTTTACCAAATTTATTGCATTAATCACCACCAACCCAAGCGAATAACAAGACGACGATTCTTTTCCATTCAACGATTATAATAATCTCGCATTATTAAATAAAAATAGACGGAAAACTTGTATTTTTCAAATTTCTCGATATCATAAATTTATCTCTTGAAAAGACAATAATAATTACAACAGAATTTAAAAAGAATTTCAATAAAAACTCATCAATGATAAAATTTTGCACAAAAAAAGGCGATCTCCCTCCCCAATGACTCCATGCTGTTGCCCTGACACCCGCAAGGTGGAATCGAACCACTCCGGCGCTAACCGGCTACAAGTTTGAAGCCTGCACCTCGGTATAATATATATATATATATATATATATGCAGAAGAAAAATTTATAATTTCCAGTTTTTCTGGATTTTTTCGAAAAATGGGAGAATTTAAAACTGAACTGAGGCACATGATTTGAGACATTTCAAAATTTTTCACATCTGAAAATTTTGCAACTTTTATTTTATTTTATTTACATTTCTTTTTTCCTTCCATTTATTTTTTATTTTTAACTGATATTTTTTACTTTATTTTTTGTTTTTATTAGTTCAGTTATTCATATAAAATTCGAAATATTTAATCTATAAGATCTATTAATGTTGGAATGCATATGTCGAATGACTTGCTCGCAAAATTTATTTGGTCCAACGAGTGAGAGGAGCCACCCTAACCAATTAGTGTTCTTAGAAAAAAATTCTTCAAACCTTCCAAATTACGCCTTACCTCCATAATACCTCCCTCGAAACCTGTTATATCGAATAAATTTAAGCCTCACTATGTTTTTCTCCCATGGCAAATTTCTCCATCAAAACTTGTTGAGCTATTGGTGATGCTCCTTTATGTGATCATATGGACCATTATGAAATTCCTTTCTTCCTCCTTAGATTTCTATCAAATAGGTAGTGTGACTTCCTTAAATTCTCTTTTTATTATACTACGTTGGCTTTTTTTTTAGGAATACTCACCATTACTGATTAGATTCGTGCCGCTGGCTTGTCGGATTAATCAAATATGCCAGGGAGTCCCTTATAGATGATAGAAATACATATGAGTCGCAAGCATCACCGGGATTTTTGAAGAAATTTATTCCTGTTTAGAGTCGAAAGAACCTCAGCTTCGGCGCTCCAAATTGAATAACATGTCGCCTACCAGAGTAAGGTACGTTGACGGATTTGAACCCAGCTTCGATTCTCAATTTATACACTGTTTAATATAACACATTGACAGCGAACTATGCCACTAAAACCCCATTCCACTAGTACTGCTTTAAAATCCATCACATCGCTTTCAAACTCGCCACTTTGAATTCCTGATATCTGCTAAAAGCTTTGTATAAAATTTTCCGAAACCATATCAAATATCCCTTTAATGTACTCAAAACCAGTTGCATTTTCTTGCCCTAATTTGTTAGAGGCATCATTTAAAACTTCCTTTTATTCTTAAATGTTCCCAAAATCGAGTTATTCCACCTACATTCTTTGTGTTCGCTTATTGATCCATGATATTCCATGATACAGTGCATATTCGCAGTCACGAAGTAATTTTATAAAAGTCAGAATCGTGGTGACAAGGTTCAAAGGAGTGTTACATCTGATCTGAATAAAACTGAATAAATTTTGAATATTTTGACAGTTAATAAAACGAATGCAGGAACAAATTAGAATTTTTTGAAAAAAAATCAGATTCGGCAAAAAAATTGATAGCGCGGAAGGAAAGTGAACTAACTTCACTGAACTAACTTTTATGATGAATAAGACAAGAAATCTATAAAAAAAATGAAAAAATATTGGAAATTTTACAATTCAAAAAAATTCTATTACATCTTAACGTAAAATTGAATAATAATTAGGAAAAGCCCGTTAGCAGTTAGTATTAGTATTCTTAGTTGTTCCATACCACTCGACCATTGTACATTTGCTGCATCTGACTTCACATTTATGTTACTTCACATTTGGTTCTTCATACCAGTTTCATCTTTCATATGTACGGAACATCCGATTCTCCACATATGCGTCGCTTCTCATTGTTCATTTGCAGAAAATGAAATATTTATAAAGCACTAGATTGTTCATACAACTATACTATATTTGAGAAATCGTTAACATATCAGAAATTGACTTTTATCTATCAGATTTAATCAAATTTTGTACATCTATGTATATTTTTCCTTATATTTCCCACCGATTTGAACAAAGCAAAGTAAGCGGTAAGTAAACCAGCTCTCACCATTCCTGGTTAAGCCAGCTGCACTGACTGCGAATACGTTTGAAATTTTTGGTTAGGAAACACTTAGCGAGTAGAAGTAGCTAGCCAGCACCAGTCAAATTTTTCGATGAAGTTTTTCTCCTATAAGAAGCAGAGGCGAATACTTTTCTTTCTGAACCGCTATCCACTCGGTTATCCTTTCTTCTGAGATCATTTCCATTCAATTTTTATATAGTTATCGTTATCACAAAACTTTTCAGCTTCAAAGCATTATCTTTAAAGTTGAAGTGATTAGCCAGAGTATCTCCGTTATCATAATTCTTTCTCTCTTTTATCATTTTAGATGAAATCCTTTCGTTATCAGTCATCTTTCATTCCGGCTCTGTTGGCACTCGGTTGCTCGTGCTGTTTAGTTTTTCATTTTATGCTTGAACATAGATTCTTTCTTTTAATGAAATTCCGTCTCATCTATTCTTAATTTTTTTAATTTGAAACACTAATTCGGCGATTTATTTTAATCAAAACTAAATTTTAAAAATCCGATTTAATGAAATTTAAAATTTAATTTAAAAAATAAATTCCTAAGCGGAATCTATGTGTACTGTAAATCTCAGTCTCATCAGAAATGGCTGCTGCTTATTGTCTGCCTGCTTTGCTTGTTTTACCGCAGGTTTCCGAAAATTTAAAAGTTGTACGATTCAGAGGGAAGGAGGTGGAGGAGGTGGGGGTGGGATTCTTGTTCGAAAATAGATAGTGCAGTGAAAAACATTTAGAAGGAATGAAGTAGTCGCGTTCTCCTTTCTCCTTTTTTTCTGTTTTATTTCCTTATTTTCTGGAGGTTATTTACTTAGAAATGGACTAAATCTTCTATGGATATTGCCGAATGGGTATCACTTTGTTCGAATGTCATCGATCAGATATTAAATTTTCAAAACATTTAACTAAAAGCTCAGCGATTAGAAATACGAGCACTTTCCATTGTTTCCACTTTCAATCCAATTTGGGGATTTGCGTGAAAAAATTGCCAGAAGGCATTTATGACACCGTTGTTTTACTTTTGAGGAAAGTCAAAACTGGAATTAATTGATTCCTTGTTTTTTAAAGGATTTTTTTTCTTAATTTGGCATTTTTGCATTCATTGCTTCTTTCACTTATTATATTTTGCGAATTTATTTACTTTTAATTTAATTTATTTACTTTTTAAGAAGAACTTTTATTTCTAAAAAATTTAGTGAATAAAATGGACTATTTTCACTAGGACGAATCTACGTTTTCCCTTTATCTTTTTTAAGTGCTATAAAAAATTTCGATATTTTTAGAAATAAAACAACAGCAATTTTATTCCATTATTTTGTATATCTGGTTTTATCGACTTTTTTTTCTTATTAAAGGATATATGCAGAATTCGCGAACTCAAATATGTCAACGAGGAGAGATTATTCGCTTATTGAAGTTAGAAATATTCTTAGGCGTTATAAAAAAGATCTTCCAACAATAAAAGATGTGAAAAATGAAATTGAATCGAAGCTCGGGTGGAAAGCAACTACTCAAACTATATGGCGGCATATAAAGGCCTGGATTTTTTTTCATATAAAAGATTTATGCTTTATATTCAAAATTTAAAGCACAAGTCGTCACTTTAACTACTATGGACCCCGTGAAGTCTATGGTGATTCTAGTGATTATTTTATGCAGTCGATTAAGTTTATTCTTAGATGAAAAAATTTGATAAATATTTTAAAATTTTGAAATATTGCACGGGTTTGGCTACCCAAAAGATCCATTAAAAAAAAAATTAGTAGCCATTTGAATTGAAAAATTAGGCATTTTTTTATAAAAAAAGATGCAATTGATAGAAATAAAATCCAAGCATAACGGACAAAATTTCCTTCGGTTCAAGCTACTAATGATTTTTCATAGACAAGAAATTGTTATTTCCAGGTCATGGAATCCGAATTCTACAATACATTTTCGAGAGAGAGGATGACGTCACAATCCGTTCATTCACCTTCATCGCAAAATACTGATCTTCAAGAATCATCTATTGAGATAGAGATTTGTAACGACGTAGATGTGGATTCAAATGGGAAAAAAAATTTGCAAACGTTTCATGCAGCCCCATCTCGGGAAGTAGTAAAAAACGAAATTTATGCAAAGTTAGTTGTAGATTTCATTGATAACTATGCAAGCAATATTAATAGAACTCTAAAACATAAATGACGTGAGGATTTTTTTTTTGTCTTTTGTCATTTTTATGGGTACAATTTTTAATAGAAATTTATGTTTATAATGTTGAAAAAAATCTTAATAATTGAATACCAAAAAAAAAACAATGGAATAACTCATGAAGAAATTTTAAAAATCAACTGACATTGTTCAGATTCAAATCCTTTTGACTTCAATGATTATTTTTTCTTGTCATATCCCAAATGTTTATTTTCTTAATAATCATAATTCTTATTTCTAAATTAGACATAATCAGACATATATAATTTCTTTTAGTTCAAAATTATGTACGCTTTGTTTTACCATTTTCGTATTGTTTCCGATTTTGAATATATAGTTACTAATAAAGGAAATCGAAAGTTCCAAATTTACTATCGTCGAACGTTTGTTCAAACTATCCACTCTTCAAAAGTCTTCAAAATTTTCGAGTTATTTTTTGTTAATTAATTTCTTCGCACATAATTTTTTCATACTTTTTTTTAGTGGGTCAAAGTTGTCTCTACCGGTGCGTTCGACTAGATCCAAGCGTTTGACTTTGTCCTCTATTGTAATTCCAGAGAAAAACTGTGAAAATAAAGTACGGGTCTATCGTTTTAATGCAAGGTCAAAAAATGGCAAAACTGCATATTATCGTTGTTCAACATGTGATACAATTTGGCGCAAATCAAAAAAGCCTTCAAATATTGGGAGTAAGTTCCATTATTTTATTCTTTAATGCATTTTTTTTTCAAATAGTTTGCACCATTAATTAGGCTGACACGGGATGAGGCGTTTCCAAGTTTCTACAATACCACATATGAAAATAGCAGAAGCCATTCCAACGTCCAACGTCAAGTCCATATTTTAAAAATTAGAAGAATGAAAAGCAGTTTTTATAACAACAGAGTATATGTTCAGAATCTTTCCTAACCTAACTTTTTAATTGGATCTCTGTGTTTTTGGTGCCATCCATCAGGAGTTAGCAAATATGCGTTAATTTTGATGGAACGGCGAAAAACATGGCTGGCTCAACCAGTGTCTTGGGTCGATATTTTTAATGAAGTGTTTGCGCAAATGTGAATGCAGCCATGTGAGATTCCGTCTGCTTGGTGGGTATGTACCCTTAGATAAAAATGGTCAGAGGTTAATTATTTCCTTATGTCTTCACCTTCACAGGCCATATTTGGCAGGATTGTGAGCTACAATAAGACAGATATGGGCTTTCGTTTTGATACTGATTTCAGGACGATTTCACAAAGGTTTAGCAAGGCGGAAGAAAGCATTTCTAGTTTGCAACTTTCAGGGTTGGAATTCCCTCTTTTGTTTGGCTTTTTGAAATAAAAGTGAATCCAAAATAATTTTAAGTTGTTTATTTATGCTAAATTTTGCAAAAAAAGAGAAATCGTTTCGTTAATTTTCATTTAGTAATTTACTATTGTTCCACATTAAACATTTTTAGTGGTATATATTTTTCTGTTATTTTATCATAAATTTATTGAATTAAATTTATCACATTGAAGACAGTCAACAACGCTGGCTACCTAATTTGAAAACTTATGATGGGAAGATAGTGGGCGATTCACATCCACCACATCATCCTGAGTGTCATCCAATATCTGTGAATGCCCAGCAAGTGCAAGAAATTGACAGGATTTGTCGTACTCACGTGAAGCAAGGAACAATGCATCCAAAGCAGGCCTGGAATATGGTGATTCATTAATCAGTATCATTTCCATATATATCAGTAAAATATATTCTTATATGAAAGTTTTTTAGGGTTGTCAGATGGCTGTGAAAAAGTGTGAAGAAGGGTATAGTTCATCAGATGAAATTCCATTTCCGGAATGGAGTAGAATCGGTCGAAAATATCGTGAGCTAAGTCGTATAAAGAAAAGAAAGCCAATATTTGATGCTGAAATGCTTAGCAGTAGTCCTCGGATTATGAGGTTTCATATTAATTTAACTGAAACTTTTTCTCGATAGGTCCACGATGTGATTAATAAATATTCTGGAGATTTTTACGTATCTTTTTGAATTTAGGAGAAGCTTCCTGGAAAACTCATTGAAATGCTTATCATTTTTTTGCTGGAGCTTTCTATTTATAATTTTTGACTTAAGAAAAGCTTCCTGAAAAAACTCATCAATTAGAATGAAATGAAACATTTTTTTATTATTTTAGTCGATGTTAAATTAAAGTTGAGAACTAATGTAATAGCTATTTTTTAGTGTTGAAGATACTATTATTATCAATTGCTATCAATTATTATTAATTTATACTGATAAGATATAAGAAATAATGCTAATAAGAATAATTTACCAGAGAAAATAGGCTAATAATGTTAACAACTTCTCTGAATATTTTTTTATGCCGTATGTATTACTCGCCAACAACCTAGCTAAATTTTAAGGACCTTTCTTTCAGCAAATGCGAATTATTGATTTAAAATTTCAGTCAAATCGGTGAAGAATCGTTTATCGGTAGTGATGGAGAGGTTCGGTATCTTCTTCCCAGGTATCTTTTTATTTATTTATGTGGCTAATATTCGTAATTTTTTTTGCTTTTTAAGCACAGTTTTGCAGTGATTATATAGTATCCGATGGATGTAGACAATCAGCTGTACCTTCGATTTTGGTGCGTGAAGAAGGTGGAAGTGCTTTTAGGATTTACAAATTTAGTGGCGAATCTGAGGATGAAATTATAAGCTATTTTCGCTGTTCAAAGTGCGATGAATTGCAGCAGAACTCCTTTGTTTCAGCGATTTCTGACAGTATATGATTTCTTATCACATAGATTATTATCATTTAATGCATCAAGATTCATTATATTAATTTTTCTAGATTATTACAAAATTATTTAACATATTGGCTAAATTGAAATTTAATAATAAAATTATTTATTGAGATATTATGGTTGATGACCTTATTAGGCATAGGTTTTTGAAATATAAATGAAATATTGAAATTGAATTTTCTTATGACAAAAATTTTTGACAGCTGAGAAGAAAGAAGAAATTTAATTTTTCAAAATTGACTGTTATTTTTTTCGCTTTTACCAAAGAGTTGGAACTTCTCCATTTTTTTTATTTAGGCAATTTGTGGATTAATTAATTGTTATGGATTAGATGTTTACAGGAAACAATACGGCTTGTGTGAAAGTTGTGAAGGGTCGAATTGTTGGTGAAGCTCATCCTCAACATCACCCAGATTGCTTGCCCATCGAAATGCATACTCATATAGTCAAATCTAGTAAAGAAAGCCATGACGATATGAGACCAATGATCGTACGCGAAGCATGGGCTGAGGTATTCTAATGCGATTTGAAATTATTTCTTCCACCAGTCATTATTGTTTTCTGCCTTTAATATTCATTTCATTTCATTTAGAATGAATTGCCCGTGATGGAAATGCAACAGTGCCATTCCAATGAACGGATTATTGTTGATGATGAAAATTTTTCTGAGTGGGATGAGATGAGGGGCAGTAAATTTGACGCAGATAGGTTGAGAAGCAAGCGATCTGTGGAAGGAAACCATATAATCTATGACGACTGCATTGATGTTGGGTCTGTTCATATTTGATTCCATTTTGTAACTAAAAATAAAAATTTAATTAAATAAATTATTTATTTATTTATTTATGATTATTTGAAAACATTTTTTGCCTTACAGATCGGTTGTTTGCGTGCCGATTTCATCTGCTCCAACTTCACTTTCAGCATGTTGTTGTAGACAGTTTTATGAAGCCAATCTTGAAATTCAGGGTGAAATTATGCAAAATTTGGCCGAAATGAAGATGATTAGGTCAGAAATGAAAACTATGATGGAAACTATGGAATCCATGCGGACAAAAATCCGTCCTCAAATTGATAATTCGTAATGATTGCGGATTCTTTTTCTTTTATTTCGAAAATTATTGGTTAGCTAAAAGAGTTGGGCATCCACAAGCTGCTCGAACGAAGTCATACTTGAAAATAAAAGCTATTGCTTTTTCCATCGTTTTAACCCATATATCATTGAGCTATCTACTCACTTATAATCCTAAGTCCATTTGTATCAATCCGAGTTAGTCCTCCTCATTTTTGATCCATCATTTGAGCATATAAGTAGCGAAATACGTGTCGATTAATGTGGTAGGTTAGGCTTATTCAGCTTGCTTATCGGATCAGGTAAATTTTGCCAGGGAATCACTTGACGATGAACGTAAGGTGAATCGCGCGCTCCACCTGGATTTTTAGAAGGTAGGTTTACTTTTCCCGGGCATATAACCGTATCGAAATGAAAGCAGCAGAAGTGGGAACAATCCTTTGATTCTATTTCTCCTACTCCTCCCACTCCCTCTCATCCTCTGCCGCCCAACGAAGTGGGGAAATTTCATTTACTCCAACTTTCCACTAGACCACTGATGCACTTTCTTTGCATATTGTGTATGTTTTTTGATATATTAATAGATTTTCAAATTTTATTGACTTTTTTATTATTATTTTATTCCAGATATTTTTTTTCGAGTAGACCTAAAAGAATAGAATGTTTGAATAATATTCCAATGGAAAATTTTTTTCGTAAAAATAATGAAATAAAAAGAATACTTTTTTTGCATTTTATTTTGAAAAATGAAACGGCTGGTAATTAAAGATTCGCTTTGTATGGACGCATTTTCCTCAAAAATTGGTTCTTTTTAAATATTTTTAATTTTAAATTCTTCTCGAAATCTTGAAATAACAACAATAAAAATGACAAATAAGCGTACATCTGTCCCAAATGCTTTTAACAAGTTCTAGATTTTCTTTGAATCTAGTCTACTATAATCTATGCAGGTGTGAGAGGCCGCAAGTCGAATTGAACGGCTGATCTATGGTTGCCACTAATTGACAGCTGAGGCATCTTAGTGGTTTCGACTCGTTTAAATTCGGATATTATTTTGGCGAAGGGTTGTTGCTGTAGTTGGGGTGGGGTTAATTCATGTTATTGGTACCAGTGTGGGTGGAGTGGTAACTTCCTTGGCTAAATCATTGGATGCTTTTCCATTTATTATTTAGAATTTTTTGAAAATATAAAATAATTGGCGATCACATAAAATTCCTTTTTATTCCATAGGCTTGGACAATTTAATTTCCTTCAATTAATTTTTGGACTTAGAGAAGCGCTACAAAATATAACAGAAAAAAGGTGATTTGTTACGCTTATAATTCGTGTACTTTAGAAAATGAATTTTGGTCGTTCATGGAAATTTCTTCGAATGGATTCATCTTCAAGGGAAGTTAAAGTTTATTGCTTGCAGAAAAGCTGTTTTTGAACTGATTTCAAGTTTATTGGAATCAAAAGGCGTGGTGAACAGATTCTGTGGATTGGGTGAAATGCCATTTTGTGTTTGAAAATTTCTTCGACTTAATTTGACCGCTCTGAAGAGAGCTGCAAAGAATGCTTTGGCCGTTATCTCTAATTTAGTGCATTGATAAATATATCATCGTATCACCGCTAAGAGCGAGCCGCGTGTTCAAATTGTGTTTATTCGTGTTTCAGATTTACTTTGTCTAAAGTACTTTATAACTCTTCGTGAAAGATAGTTGGAAAGATTCTGTTTAATTATGTCAGCTCTGCAAGAATTCGTCAATCAACAGAAAGCGAAAGGCGCATTAGGAGGAAACATTGTTCCGAGCCAAATATTGCCATATGTTAGTTTGGGTGAACTTAAATCGAAAATTTCGTCGAAAGTTTCTGCTTTGCCATTATTTTCCCATTTTAATAAAAATTCAACTGACGATGATCAATCCTTGATGAAAACTTCAAGTGAAAATGGCCAATTACCTCACGAAAAAAATCGTAAAAATGGGTCTTTTAGTAACGACGAAACAGTTTTTGGGTTCGTTTTTATTGTTTCCTCATTAAATTTCATTAAATTCTTTATAAAAACGCGAAAAAAATAATTTGAACGAGAAAAATTAATTTCGAACGAATGCAAAATGTTTAATTGCTAAATTATACTATTGCCGTATTAATAGAAAAATGTTTAGTGAATTGGAATTCAGCAAAAAATTATTCATTGTTGTGTGACTTTGTTTGACCGTTATCTTTTTAGGCTTTCAAGGATCCAAAGAATCGTCGTTTTTGCCATGTTTTTTCTTGGTGCTCTATTCTGTTTCGGGACTGTAAAATTTCTATTACTTTTTTTTGATTTCAAACTTCTGATATATTTATTAGCTAAATGAATTGAATTTATTTATCCCTTTTTCTCTCTACAAATAATGTGCCGGAGTCAGAAGCATAAAGGATATATGTGAGCCGAGAAGATATGGCCCAAATCATTAAGCGACGAGCTGCTGTTCGACAAAACTATCAATTAAAAAGTCCACTTGTACTCGTGGGAAATCTACTGGCTTTTTAAATTCTGTCGTCAAATGATCCTCTGCTAAAAGTTTTAAACGATACTAGTAGCCAAACCAATAAAAGGGAGTTAGTTTAACCATAAGTGATATACCATACCCATTTATTTATTTACTTACCAGTTTTCTCACTGGGAATTTGCAGGCAATTGTATTTTTGCCGGTGATCGTGTTGCAAGCACGTAAATTTGCGGCTCTCAATACTCTTGGTTCTGTTCTGTTGATATTCAGGTTTTCTTGCTTTTTCTTTTCATTTCCATTTACTTTTATGTAAATTGGTTATCTACTTATAGTAATATTTACTTTACCTGTTACTATTTTTAGTTTTTTCTGATAAAGTATTTCACTTATTATCTTCTTTATTTTCAGTTTTGCATTCCTTTGGGGACCATTAAGCTATGTAAGGCATACTTTTTCGGAACAGCGTCGATATGTTACCATCTCATATCTGATAACTCTGATCTTGACTCTTTATTCAAGTCTCTGGGTTAGTATATTCGTTTAAACTTTTAATGGGCTTATTATGGTATTGTATTTTAATTATTATGAGCTTTCATGGAATTTGATTCTTAGTTTTAATGGTTTTTTCTGATATAAACTATTTCACTTATTATCTTCTTTATTTTCAGTTTTAAGCAAACTAATTTTTATTATGCTTGAATTTTTCTAAAATTAAGGAAAATAATGAAGAACTTAAAGGAATTATGTAAAAAATTATGAAAATGCAAGGAACCTATGAAAACGTACTTTTTACGTGAATTAATCGCCAAGTTGTCATCAAATTAAAAACTGAAATTTTATTCGTTTATATGTGAAAAAAAACGAAGATGTCGAGGAATGCATTTATTAATTTTTAGTGGGAAAATAGTATCATGTTGTCATCATTCGCACGAATTCTTCATAATCGATCTATAAAATGGTTTTCATCTGTCTAAAAAGATTTTACGTAGATGACTACTCGCATACATCATTAATTATTTGTTCCATTTGAATTTTGGTATGGTATAAAAAAAGTCGAACAATGTTTTGCTCTTGTTCACCCGAAAAAATGAGTTTGATATTGAAACAGATGGTGAGAACGTTGATTTTAGCGACAATGATAATAATTCTTAGTGAGTTTGGGGACAATTTAACTCAACTACGACAGTCAACAGTCAAATTAAGTTTTTAGCCAATTTTTTATTAATGCTTTCATTTCGCCAGAATTCTTTTAATTTTCCGATTTCCTAATATAATTTTCTGTTCATTTTTGATTGACGCATGTCAATATTCCCTTAAGATCTGTCAGTACTGTCCAGATTATAATATTATTCTTTCAAAATTTAGAAATGAAAAATGAATACATTTTTATTTTATTTTTTGTTGGTGATAAATTAATAATTTTTTTTAATTTTTTTGCCCTCACCATTACTGATTCGACTCATTTGCTGGCTTGTCGCACTAATCAAGTATGCCAGGGAGTCCCTTGGCGATAGAAATACTGGTGGGTCGCCAGCATCACTCGAATTTATAAGGAAGTTTACTCCTGCGGGAAGTAGAATCTCAGCTTCGGCGTTTGAAATTGAACAATAACCCATTGAGTCATTCTATCTTCAAGGTAGTAGATTGTTAAAATTTAATTAATAACCTGTCCATCACCGTCTATATCAACCTCAGAAATAATTTCGTCAACTTCTTGGTCGCTAAATTGTTCACCCATATGCGTCATGAAGTATCGAAATTCGTCTGCAGTAATATATCCGTTTCCATCTCGATCAAAAACACGAAATGCTTCCCGAATCATTTCACCGTCATTTTCCTAAATTAGTTTCAAATTAAATTAGTTTAAAAATGGCAAATATCAAACTATCCTTCATGGCATTTATCATGATTAATTATAACTTAATTAACAGAATAATAAATTATCACACATGATTAATCACGAAAGTAATTTATCGTGATAAGAAGGGAATTATAGCGTGAGGAATTTATATTAATTAATTCTTTTGTTGGTCTGTATTTGAATAACTATAAACATTTGTCGCTATTGATAGATAATTCCTGCTATATGTGATAAGTATCGATCAAGAAATTAATGATTTCTTATAGAAAATTTCCCAATATTTTTGCGAGATTTTGTTTGAATTATTTCTTTTGAAATAGCGTTTAATAGATTTTTATATAGGTTGTAGGCTTTCATAAAAATTGTTTTTTTTTTTCAGTTGTAAGATTTAGTTTCATTTAGTTTTTATTCACTTAGTTTCGTTGTAATAAAAATACTTCACTAAAAGATTTCAATTTGCGATAACATTTTTTTAAAGTTAATTTCAATCTTGGTACTTTTAAAATTTCTTTAGAAGAGTAAAAGGTTTTGAAATTTCTACGAATCTACGAATGAATCAGTTTCAGGCGAACAATTTTTTCAATTCATTTTTGAATGCAATTTTACGAATTCAAAATGCATTTTTGCATTCTGACTTGGAAAAAAATTAGAAAAAAAGATTTAGTCAAGATTTTGATTTAGGAAAAACTGAAGAATCGACCTTACTCATACGTTTCATCATTTGACAAAATTCGGAAAATTCAATAGTTCCACTGCCATCTATATCTACTTCGTTGACCATATCGAGAAGTTCTTGTTCAGTTGGATTCTGACCTAATGATCGCATTGCTACTCCTAATTCTTTCGATGAAATCGTCCCGTCACCATCCTATAGAATCTTGAAAAGTTAATCTTTACTGGATGAAATAACCATATAGTGGAGTTGAAGTTAAGACTTTATTATTGCTAGATTATAGAGCTCAGAGTCTGTTTGAAGGTTTATTGAGCTACTGATAAAAATGATGTAATAATTAGGTTAGGATGAATTTGCGATAGCATTTTTTTAAAGTTAATTTCAATCTTGGTACTTTTAAAATTTCTTTAGAAGAGTAAAAGGTTTTGAAATTTTATAAGAAATATTGATGATTCTTTGAGATATCTAAAGCTTTCATTAAGCTTATAATATTTATTATATTATTGGGGATTGAATGATTCAGTGGGTTGTTGCTCAATTGGGATCGCCGATGCTGAGATTCGATTCATCGCAGGAGTAAACCTGTACAAAAGCCCGGGTGATGTTGGCGATTCACCTGTATTTCTATCGCCAAGGGGTTCCCTGGCATATTGCCCAATGCGACAAGCCACTGCAGCGAGTTTAACCAGTAATGGAGAGGACTCTTTAAAAAAAAATATTTACATACATTAATTCTGATAATACTTTATTAAATTTGTCGCTTACCTTTAATAAATTTTTAAAAAAGTTCGGTGAGAATTTCGTTAATTTAATCAAGCTTTTGCTATTAATTTTAGTTTCCCCTAAGATATAGTAGATTTTATTGTGAAATTTAGTTTTATAACTATTAAATTATGATTAAATTAAGTTTATTGAATATTACTAAGAAAGAAATTCAGAAGAATTTTATTTAGAAATTTTAGAATTTTAGAAATTTTTATTTAGATTTTGGTCCAGTTTTATATGGGATTTATGCATATTTTAATACTTATCAGGAAGAATATGAGCTTTTTGATTTTCTTAAAAAAAAGTCGAAGGTAAAGTCGAAGGTTACTAACTTTGTCGAAAAGTCGAAAAGCTTCCTTATATTCGAGTTTTTCTTCTTCACTAATTCCTTCGAATAACTGGTCATATGCGGTTTGGTGTTTCCATCGGTTAAACAGTGATGCTTTACCATTTTGTGTCATTTTTGCTTATATGAAGAGTAAGTAAATCGAGTAGCGACTGAAATTATTGGAAAACGGTAATAGCAAAAGGTTTTTATTTTTTAGGTTCAATGAATGCTTAAAATCGGCGAAGTAATTGGTTGGGTTTTTCGACAGAACTGCTTAAATTGTTAATTTATATAGTAATTGGATCATTGTTGGCAGACTAAAGATGATTTAGAATTAACAACAGAAAAAATTCTCAATATCTGGAGAACCCTAAGAAAAATAGACGATTAACAAGAATCCAAATTTTATTGAAAAAATGCAAATGGAATGAAAAAATGGAAGCAGTGGAAAAATTCCCGATTGCCAACTAAATTTTCTAAGAAATATAATGAATGGCGAATAAAAATACAAAAAAAAAGCTGTGGGAGAAACGTGATATCGATATTAATTCTGATTTTCATTCTCTGCAGGAAAATAATGTCAGATGCAAGTTGAATTATTAGCGCAGAATTTGTATTTAGGAAGATGGATTTGATAAGAAGTGATATGAATTCCAGAGATTCTTTAAGAAGGTGGTAATCGATCACGTTAACCAGCGCAATAACAGTTGTTCGTTGGAATCAATTAAAATCTCAGTCCACTATTTCAAGCTCTATTGATATAGTATACAGGAAAATAAAATTTAAAATTCTCAATTTTTTTAGAAATTGTTCGAAGCCTAGTTTCGAGATCTTTAGTGGTACCAGCCATATTTGATTATGAGAAGCATATATTTTTGTCCATATGATTTTAACGAAAAATTTGTGGATAAGATGGCAAAGAAGCGCAAAATAAATATGAATATATGAATAAATAAATATGAATAACTATCCTGAGAAGGTAAAGTACGTTCGTATATTGATTCTGCCTTGCTAATTTTTTTCCTTTTTTTCCTTATATGGGTTAAAAAAGTAGTCTTTCATATCATACGATCTATTGTTTTAATGGAATTAGGAAGAGAAAGGAATGGAATAAAAATGCCTTCCTTTTAGATCCATTGGAAAGTGCATTTCCACTTTTTTTCTCTGGATTCAGTTTTGTTTGAGAATTGAATAGATTTTCTATGTACGCATTTTATGCTTATTCTAATAGAATAGAGCTTTTGTTGAGGAGTCCAGGATTTGCAAGTTTTCTTAGCGAAAGAATAGGATTGTTTCATGTTAGTTGTTGGATGCATGGTTCACTGATGTATATAAATAAGCTTAAGCAAGTAAAGCACATAAATAGTGAATAACATTACAATAAGTTGAGACCTTACCTTTTAAAAAATGATCTGTGGAGAGATATTTTACTGGAAAATTGAATTTACTCTTTAAATTTTGAAATGGATTTTTAAAAAAAAATTTTTACTACTGGGAAGCAATCTTTAAATAAAGAAGAACGACGAAATTTTTTGCTTTTCCGCTATTTTCTTTTGCATCATTTTTAAGAAAGTTTCATTTCAGAAAGTTTTTATTGCTAATAAAAATAAAATGAAAGATATCTGAAAGGCGACATTTGATGAATCAAAACAAAGATAAAATTGCTTTGGTTTCCTTGATATTTTTAAAATACCAATTTGTGCTGCGGATTTCTGCTTTGAGCTAAGGTGAGAGTATTGAGATATTTGAAGTGTAACGAAAATATTAAAATTAGGCGATTGTTGAGATTTCTTATGTTTTATGTATCAAAAATACCAAAAGCATTTTCTATAGTTTCTAGAGAATTAATAATCGATTGATTTTTGCTTAGGCTACCTTTTCAAGCGCCATAGTTCGACCTTCCGACGGTAAGCCATTTTACTTAAAAATCTGTCGGGGAACTAAATATGCTATTCCATATGTCTCAGTAGGGCTACAACTAGTCTAACCAGAGGTGATGAGCGAATGAACTCTTAGTTTTTAATTCTTGCTGGGTAAATTAAAAAATAATATCAGTGAAAACAATGGTGAGTTAAATGAAACAGTTTTTATTTTTTTTAAGGCAAAAGAAATTTTTAAGTGATTTAAAATGTAAAGTAAAAAGTAAAATAGTAAAGTTCCATTTTATATTTTAATTTTTTTCTTATATAAGAGAGAAATTATCTAAAATATTGTTTTATTTCAATGCTTAGATATCTTATATCATTTCAAGTTATCGTATTTTACAACTTTTTTCTGTATTAAAACCTTTCAGTGATATATATGATCTTATATGAACCTCTTCATTTCACCAATTCCGGCTTTAGTAATTGTTTGAAACTTGGCTTTTTCGCAATATAAAATTTTTACTTGATATCGTCAATATATTTAAGATAAACCTCTTTTTTTTAATCTTCGCTCGAATTGATTTATGAATTTACAGCTAAAGTTTATTTCAATTTTCTTCTAAATACCCTAGTATCCAGAGGATTTTACTTTTCTATTTATTAGCAACATTAATTATAGCAACATTAACATAAAATCAAAGTTGATAGTTTTTTTGGTGCAGTTGGTTAAATATTATGTAAAAATATCAGCGACACAATATAAATAGTTGGATGAAGCTTATTCGTTCATGAATATTTTAATAATTACAATAGTTTTATGTAATAATTTTGATAATAATAATAATTAGCTCCGAATTCTCACGAAATTTTTGGTCAAAATATCAAATTTAATTTAATTATATGCTTCTCGCTAAATTTGAATTGTTGGCTTATCAAAGAGAATTTTAAACATACAGTAAATTTCGCAGTTGATCATGGCTGACTTAGAATAAATTATGAGAAGCTTATTTTAAAAACTGTACTGCAAATGGATATGAAAGTATCTAAATCATTTTTTCGATGAAATCCATCTAGAAGGCTTCCTTCTTTAATAAAATCAACTTGAAGGGCCCAGAAAAGATCGAACTTTTTTGGATTATCTTAGCAATTTCGAATTTAAAAAATGTTCCATTTTATATACAGTTTGCTTCAAATATAAAAGTCGTTTTTTTATTATTTCAATATTAAGTATAAATTATGAGAGAATTTTCATTTTCAGCTTTCTTTTTTATTTTTCGTTTCAGCTACAAAGTACACTGCTAACGATTGTATTTGCGTTCATTCAAGCAATCGCGTTATTATGGTTGGTATTTGGCCAAATTTTAATTTTAGTTATCGTTTTTTAAGGTCTTTTCAAGAGTATTGATTTTTTTCTGATGGCACTTCGGCAAGGATATTCGGAAGTTTGTGCAAATATCTCTTAAATGATGGGGTGGGATCTTTTCTTTCAGATTCTTCTGGTATTTTATTTATTTTTTGAAGCTTTTTTGAAGATTTTTATTTTATTACTTTTTTATTATTTAAAGAAATAATAGATTTTAGAGAGATATTTGCGAGAGATTTTTATGGAAAATACGCATTTATTTGCAATAAACCAACGTTTATCAAAAAACCCATAAAAATTTCCAATAAAAACGACTCTTTTATTTTAAAAAATAATTGAAAAATTAAATGAGTATCGTTATGTGTTGATGAATTGCCTTGAAAAAACAATGAAAAACCATTGTGCAAAAGAAAAACCATTGAGATTGTGCAAAACAAAAAAAATAAAGTATAGAATTTATAAATCTATTCATCACTAAAAAGTTTCACTTTTTTGCTTTTCGTCCATATTTATGGAATTAATTCTGAAAAAAATCATTTTAGACTTCAGTCTTAAACCCCCTAAACTTTCAGAAATTTACAGATACAAGCAGGAGCAGCATAAACTAAAGGTTTATATAAAGGTTTAGCAAAGGCCGAAAATTGAAAATTGATATATTTAAATTCCACAAAGTATTGAAGAAATTTACTTTAAAATCAATCTGCCTAAAAATCTGCCACTGTGTGTTGAGCAGTTTCTGAGGCATTTCAATCCATATTTTGAGTCCTGTTGAGTTTAGTATGTTAAATCCCTGCTTCGGTGGATCTGGTGTTGGTACCTGTTCTTGTGGTGCAGTCATTGCTATATTTTATCCATAATCACTGGTAGGGTTTGTCAATGCCAGCCAGCTCAGTGCCATGGAAGATCTTGTTTTGCCATGGTATACAGTGCTTGATCCTCTTCCAGTGTTTATTAATGCTTCAAACATTCTCTCATAAGTTCTGTGCATTGCTGCCATCTTGCTGTTGTATTCTTGAATTGCTTGAGGTTCTATTCAAGGCAATGGCTTTATCACCCACCCCATCCATTTTCTTTTCATCTGTACAATCTTTGGATTATATTGGATTATTTTGGGTTGAAATTTTCTTAAATTGTTAAAAGTTTCTAATTCTTCATATCGTCCATGTCTTCTTTTGATTATCTCTGAATATTTGATGACGGGGCACACAAGTTTATAGCATAAATTTCGTTTTTCCTATTGAGCTGTTAAAGATATGCTTCTTCCTTACCTTCTTGTCGTGATTTCCATATGACTTTGGAATATCAAGATATTTGTAACTAGTCCATATGCTATCTGTCCTACTGGCATGTCTACCGTCAATCTTCGTTTATTTCCGGCTTTTTACTGCCATTTGGCAACTTCTTCAGTCCCGATTCCAATATCCTCGCTGAAGATTCTTATTAGATGAATGAGTGAATCAATGACTCCTTTGCTTTTATATATAATTTTTAATATATAACTTGATATAATCCATGTAGAGAAGATGCCCAATAGTTGTTGGGCTCTTGAACTTGTATTCGTATCCATTTTTCATAATTATCTGGCTGAGGAGGTTTGGAACTATATAGAATAGTAGCGGAGGACAGTGCATAAATTGAATATATATATATATATATATTTAAAACAATATCAAATGGCAAGAACATCAAGAAGAAGAAATAAGAAGCAAAAGGAAATAAAAAGCAAAAAGGTCATAAAATGGATGAGGTAGAATTTTCCTGCCATATTTTTTAGTTTTTAATGCATATTTTTTGAAACATGAGATCTTATATTGCATATTTGAGGATTATAGCTTTTTTAATAAATATTGCAGACAATTTTCATGAAGTTTATTTTCGCAGGGCGAATTGAATTAACGGTAGTTT